CTATAATGTCTTTAGTTTCATTTGTTATATGATCTCGTTATGCTGGAAAATAAATGTTGGCTATAAAATGAAAGTTATGATTGCGAGCCTGATTTTCATTTGACCGTGGGAGCTATTTGATGGTTTTATGTGAATCTATTTATGGAATACAGGACTGGCATTTATTCTGTTATAATTGTCTAAATAGAATAGAAAAAAATCAACATAAAGGTATTGACTTACATTATATTTATTAACTATATAAATATAAAAAGGAAACAGCCTGAGTGATACCATCATCATCATTGCGTTCCCTATATCCCAATGTTTCCCAAAGTGGGGCCCATGCCCCCAAGTGGGGTGTTTTAATTGTTAAGGGAGACATTACGAAAAAAGACTTTTTATTAAAATTATATGGAATTTGAATTTAATTTTTTTAATACATATTTTAAAATTTACTTATTGTTTCATTAATAATTTCCTAGTGATTTCTTCCTAAAACTTATTATTTAAGTTTCTTAAGTGAACAAATATTTTTTTATTGTTATAAATTATATATATTAAATAAGGGGGGGGGGGGATAAGAATTTTAGAAGGGCTATAGTGAGGCAGGCCACTAAAAAGGTTGGGAAACACTGCTACATCCCATCATTTGAATTCGGTACAGTATGTCTCTTATTATTATTTATTTATTTATTATTTTATATACTCTTCCACTGATCTCTATCTGCCGTCATATTTGAGCTTTTTTTTTTATTATTTATTGGGTTGTTTGGGCTATTGTCAGATGTTTGTAGAACCTGTAGCACTGCGACCTACAAAGACCTATGCAGAATAGACGGAATAGAATTGAAGCATATTCTTAGGAGCGATGGTTTTTATCTCCTCGGGAAAGAGTGTAAACTTTCCAAAGGAGATATTTTGTTTATGCATGAGTGGGCTACCACATAGGATGTGTAGTGGCGTTTCCTCTTCAGTTTGGCAGCATCTGAACATACTCTCCTTTTATACAACTACAATAATAACAATTATTATTAAAACATTCTATTATTGTTATTTATTATTGTTTGAATTGTTTAACACATTTCATCAAGTATGTTCATTTATTCGTCGAATATTCATCATCATTCATCATCATCATTCATATACATTATATAGTAATTTTCACACATTTAAAATCATCATTAAAAGGTCTACGAGATTGTTCGTTAAATTACTCTACATGATTGCAGTTATATACGCAAAACTTTTAATAGAAGCGGTAGAAGATTCTAGTTTCCAAAAGTTACCATCGATGTTCATGAGTTAGCAGTGCACACATTTAATTTAGTTTTACTTCAATCTGCACAACTTCGAAATAACTAGACAAAGTTTTAATAGATTTTATGCAGTCATTTTCATATGCATTAAACAATTTAGTCGGTTCTCATTTCTTTTTCAAAATAATAGATAAACGGTTATTTTTAAACTTTCGTGTTTTATATATGTACTTACTATTGACTATTTATTATTGATATTATTAACCAGATCTTAGCACTAAATTTTCTGGTAAATAAATGTGTAAATAACCTTACTCTCTCGACGTTTCGACTAGGATGCACTAGCCGTGGTCACGAGCTGACTTGACTGAATGTCGCGAAAGGTAAAATACCTTTATCTGCCATGAAATTATTCGTGTTTAGACCCAGTTAAGAATATAAATAATGTAATACATAAATGCTATCATTTGACTTAATACAATGTGCTATTATTATACATTAGAAGATTTTGTCTGTGTAGTACTGCCACATTTCACGTGTAGATTTTTCTATAGAAATAGAATAGGAAAAAAGCCGTTGGTCCATATATATGAATATATATATAAAGAGCAACATGGCTATCACATGTTCATGTGACCATATTTGCCTATAAGCCTTTATTATCTTTAAGTGCCCTATAATTACACTAACAATATCTCATTACAATCCTATCTCTCTCATTACAAACTTAACCATAACTACAATTGGAAATAATAGAATACAATAGAAAATTATTTATTTAAATAAATATACATATAAGTACTTATAAATGGTTATGACTTATTTTTTTATCTAGGTACCGCTCATTCGGAAAGCTGTCTCTCCACAAGAAAATAGTAAGAAACTTGGAAATTCTTGTAACTTCTCTCGAAATTTGTGTGATGCTCTTTTAAAAAACATAGTTATAACTCTACATTTATAAATTGAAATATGTGATATAAACTACTATAGTTGGCTAGTGCACTATTTCATTGGAGTCAAAATAATAAATACACAATCATATGGTTTAGTAACTAAATAATATAATATTGTATAATAATATTTTACTTATTTCTCCTCACAAATATTGTACACATTGAAAACAAATACATGTAGTATTTTAAATAATATATTGCATAAATTTACCATTACAATTATATAAGAGTAAATCTGTCGTAGTAATTAGACTGACCAGACACTGGATATATGTTATTGTATAATATGTGAGTTAGAGGCACCCACGCAGATAACTTATACAAAGCCTACATAGGACAAAGGATATTCTAAAAAGGTAACATGAAAGCACAAATCTATTATATTATAATGGAAATAAAATATAACATTCTTACAATTATTGCCAATTTCATTTAATACATTTTTGCTTTGTTAAACCGACTGTACCCGCAGAAAGGTATTGCGAAGTTTGCGTTCCCTCCTTAATTAGAGGATGACCATTAATTACCGAGCTTTCTACGTACTCTTGTACCGGGCTTGGTCAATTAGATGTATAATTAAGTTAAATTAGGACCGCACCGTCTATCTTTTGTCCGATAACAGTTAAACATTTCTGTTCCTATTTTGTTGCTTTTTTTTTTAGTTTAAGGTACAGTTTATTCGGTCTGGTATAAATATTTTATCTTTGCACATCCCAAAGGTTGACTGGGAGAGAGTGTTATAGCTTTAAGTCTACCTTGTGCATAACTTACCTCACCTCATGTCCTCCACTATAAAGCATGAGCGCAGGCGCTGCATTATTAAAAAAAACAGTACAAGTTTTATATTTGCGCACAAACGCATAGATAAATCTTCAAAAATGGTAATAAAGATTTTTTGTTCTATCACGTGTGTGTTTTATATAAAGTGTACGTAATATATATAAATGTAGTAAATATTTCAGCCTCTCTCTCAACATGACATTTATTTCCACATTTACACCTAAATCAGTGTGGCGTAACTAATTTCGTACTAAGTTAACAGCGTATATTTTAGGATTAACCCCTCTCGAAATTTCCTCGCGTAAATGTTATAGCGGAGAATCTTAATGAAACCTTACGGGAGCGATTGCGAGACGCAGTTTTACTGTCGCCTTTGTTCCTCCGGGAACGTACCGAATAAGTTCTTGTTAGCTGCGCGTGACACAAAGATTTTCTTGAGCTCATTCCGCTGTAAACTTAACGAGCGACTTTTTAAAGACTGCTTTGAAAGGATTGCTCCTTTTTGTTTTATTTCTATAAAATAGTGCAGAGTTTCTACATTGGGAAGAAACTAGGTTAGATTCACTTAATAAAACACACCATCACGACTATTAGCCCCTATCGTGCAGTTAGAGATATTTTCAATTGTTAAAATTGTTGTGATATATTACTTATACCATATTAAACTATACTATACTAGCAAATTAGACAAAATGTAATGTAATACCGAATCTTGTAGGGGGTAATTCTTTCCTTACCTTGGATAGTGCTGTGATCACACAGACAATATCAATGTATTAGTTTTTAAATATTATATTATATGTATGTTAGTCTATAAGGTATTTATTGTTGCGGACCACGAGTCGGCATCGAAAACATGTAAATAAATTTGTGTATAAATTTGTATTTTTCCAGTGTTTTGACTATTGTTTAGGTTAGACTATTGTTTGTACCATATACCCTTTGTAGCGGCATAGATACTGTGAATTCTATGTCCGCCCATTGTGTAAATTCTTAGGGATCACAGCTTTAGTGTAGCCTGAACATGTGGCATTTAGTCGCACGTGGTTTTTTGTAGTTTTTTGTGTTGTTACTATTGTATTTAATTTTAAATGTGTGCGTATTCGCTGTTCCGGCCCGTCGGTCACCGACATGTGCAGGAATTGTCGGGAGGGTGGGACGGCCGACGCGCACGGCTCGGCGGGGGTGGGGAAGGACGCGCTCGGGCGCCCGTAAAAGGCGGGTTGGTTCTCGATCGCGCTCTCTTACGCATACGCCACCGACGAAGAACCACCGCCGGCGCAACGACCAAGAAAACCCCACTCCGGCCGGCCGACCCATAGAATAAGAAACAAATTGAAATACAGTCCACATATTTTGAAAATCGAAGACCTTTTAATTGTGTACCCCACAATTTTGTGGTCCATCGCAGCCGCATATCAAGACCGAAGATCACCCAACGGTGCGACGAATCGCCGTGGAAGATCACCCAACGGTGCGACGAATCGCCGCGGAAGATCACCCAACGGTGCGACGTACCTCGCCGAGGAAGATCACCCAACGGTGCGACGCTAGCAGCTTACCGAATTTAGCTGCCGTCGTAAGGTGAAAACTTGAGGGTGCAGCGAGGATAGGATAAATAACGTCTACGCCATATAGGATAGATAACGTCTAAGCGGTGTGTCCGCGGCTCACATCTCTTACCACCTAACGGTGTCAAACGGTCGGAGTGTGGGTTAACGCCATTGAGCGGTGCAGTGGGTGGTGTGTCACTGCCGGTTGTTGCTTGTTACCGTGGCGCAACCGAATAGCACTATTACGCCTGTACGTGTGTATCGTATAGCGGGGGCCGGACTGTAGGCACTGCCAAAGGGGTCGGAAAGTCCGAACCGGCCCTGAGCGCCCCGTCTGTACATACGCACCACTGCGGGGTAATTCCTACCCTCCTATCCCCATAGTCCATCCCCTCGGGTGTTATCCTGAGGGATTGTTAGGGACGGTTAGGTAGGTAGGGACCGGTAGGTTAGGGGCTTGCAAGTGCCAGAACACGATGCCGACTACGAGAAGCCAAGCCCCGGGAGCAGAGAAAAAGACCACGCGGGAAAATGAACAGACAGAAGCGTCCCCTTCAGAAACCACGCAGATGTCCGCGTCCGCCGCGCCGTCGAGCGCGCCACAGGCACAAGCCGCCCGCGCCGCGTTTACCTCGGACTCCGCACCGGCGCCACCGTCGCAGCCGCCGACGACAGATGTACGTCCGGCCCGGGCCGCGTCGGTGCGATCGCGCCGCTCCACCGCTAGCGGTATAGCTATATTAAAGAGGCTGGAGTACGAGGCAGCGCTACAGATGGCGAAATTACAGGCTGATTTAATTAGAAAGAAGTTGGCAGCCGATGTCGCCGCGGTACATGAAGAGACTGATAGCGTGTGCTCCGAGGAAGGTGCCGGCCTGCAACGTATAACGGATTGGTTTCAACGTACCGAAGTACGGGGGGAGCAGAGAATTAATTCCCCACCGCCTACGCAGAAAGAGCCAACAGAAAGGCAAGCTTCACCGCCGAGGACGCCGAAGCAAAGACGGAGGTCCCCGCTCCTGAAGCCGGGATGCAAGAAGGATTCACCCGGTTGGCCAAAGCTATTGAACGAGCTGTGGACGAACGAGCGGATAGGGTAGCGCCGAGGCAAGCCCAAGATCTCCCGATCTTCAGCGGCGAAGCAAGTGAATGGCTAGCGTTTAAGGCGGCCGTAGACCAGTCTACAAAGACGTACAGGATCACACCAGCGGAGAACCTGGCCAGGCTGAGGGCCTGCTTACGTGGAAAAGCGAGAGAGACAGTCGCAGCGTTACTCGTATCCGCTACAGAACCGTCGCAGATCATGAGGACGTTGGAGCAGCGGTACGGCCGGACAGAGGCCATCATCGACCGCGCCCTCAAAGATCTGAGAAGGATGCCGGTAATAGGAACATCGACAACAGAGGTGATTGACTTCGCCATTAAACTACAGAACATCACCACCATCGTCGCGGATATCGACAGGGGGGCGAGATTTCTACATAATCCCGCGCTTGAGAGTGAAGTGTCAGAGAAGCTGGCCCCTCACTTACAGGTCCACTGGTGTCACTACGCTGAAAAAAACAAGGAGGACACTAGACCTACGATCATCAAGATGGCAGAGTTTTTAATGAGCGAAGCCGATCTCATGACCCGACATCTGCGAATAGCATCACCAACGAGACGAACGAGCGCGCTACCCACGAAGCAGCCCCCGAAGCAACCCACTAGGCAACCCATACCGAAAGCAACGATGTCGGCACCTCGGCGACAGATGACGGATCGTGGCGCGGCCGTATACGCCGCCGTAGAAAAGAGCGAACAGAGTACCGAATTTCTGTTGCGGCGCCGCACACGTAACGCCGAAGTGTAAGAAGCTGAACGACATATACAGATGGGAGTGGGCGAAAACAAATAAGATGTGCTTCCAATGCATGAACAGCACGCACAGAAGGTTCAAGTGTAAGGCACGCAAATGTGGTGTGAGAGAGTGTCGTAAGCCACACCACGCCCTGCTGCACCCCCAGAAGAACCGCCGAAGCGGCAAGAGGACACCGCGATTACAGCCGCAGCACGCTTGCCAGAGAACAGCCAAGTGTTGTTAAAGGTGTGTCCCATCATCGTGAAAGGCAAGACGGGACGCGAAGTAGAGACGTACGCGATGCTAGATGAAGGCTCGACGGTTACACTCATCGATGCGGAGATCGCAGAACAGATCGGAGCCGAAGGTCCGACGCGATCTCTGAGAATTCAGGGAGCGGCCTCGAGCTGGCACGAAGCCTCAAGCCGAGTGGCTGATGTCATCATCAGAGGGCGACACCATACGGACGAAGAACACTCGGTGAGGGCGCGTACGATCCGGGATCTCACCCTAGGAACGCAGCGAGTGAACCCGGAAATACTCGCGTACGGACACCTGCGACAACTCACTTGCGAGCAAGTGTGCTACGAAGATGCCAGACCCAAGGTCTTGATCGGGTCAGACAACTGGCATCTGATTGTTACGCGGAAGCTGCTCACAGGAAGGCACAATCAACCCGCAGCGTCGCTGACACGACTGGGATGGGTCATCCACGGAACGGTACCCAGAAGTGTCGTGGAAGACGAGGAACATGTCCTCCACGTGCGGTTGACACAGCGCAACGCCGAGCCAGACATGCGGCATATAGAGGGCATAATAAAAGCGCATTACGACATCGACGCGTTGGGTATATCGTCGAAGAGATTACCCATCGCTAATTTGCGCGCCGTCGCCACATTCAACCGCACAGCGACGAGAGTGGATGGGCGATACGTCGTAGGATTGCCGTGGGAGAGAGATAACGTCGTTCTACCTCCCAGCTACGACATGGCAGCGAGCCGACTGAGGGGAATAGAGCGGCGGATGGATCGCTCTACGGAATTCCGGCTGGCGTATACCGCGGAGATAAACAAGTTGTTGGACAAGGGTTACGCCGAGAAAGTAACCGACGACCGGTTCAACAACGACCGCGCGTGGTACCTTCCCCATTTCGGAGTGACGAATCCGAATAAACCCGGAAAGTGCGACTGTATTCGACGCCGCGGCCCGTAAAAGGGAATGTGCTTGAACGACGTACTGCTGGATGGGCCAGATATGCTACGGTCGCTTAACGGTGTGTTATACCGTTTCCGCGAGAAGCCCGTAGCTATCACGGCAGACAAACGAGAGATGTTCCAGCAGATTAAGATACGGGAAGAAGATAGAGCAGCACAACAGTTTCTGTGGCGAGGAGATGACTGGATTAACCCGCCGCAGAAATACGTAATGACCTCAATGATTTTCGGGGCGAGGAGCTCACCGTTCATCGCACACAGCGTTCGAGACAGGAACGCGGCAGAGCACCGAGAGTCGCACCCGTCAGCGTACACCGCCATAACAAGGAACCACTACATGGACGACTGGGTCGATAGCTTTGACTCCGAAGAGGAAGCAGCCCGCGCCATTCGAGAGGTAGTAGAGGTTCATGGCGGGATAGGATTCACGCTGGCGGGTTGGAATACAAACCGACCGAGCCTGCTAGAGAATGTGAGTGAGGACCAGCGAGCGAGGACGCCGAAGGAACTGGGAGCCAACGCACATCCATACGGAAAGACATTGGGGTTATTGTGGATGTCAGCCGAAGACCAGCTGGCGTTCAACACCGGCATGCCACGCGTCCCACGAGAAGTGAAGCACGGCACGCGGATACCGACGAAAAGGGAAGCCTTAGGAGCGGTGATGTCATTGTTCGACCCGCTCGGGCTGCTGAGCCCTTACACCATCACGGCAAAAATCATCTTGCAGGCGCTGTGGGTGCAGAAGGTCGAATGGGATGACCCTCTGCCCGCCGAGGAAGCGCGGATGTTCCAGGAATGGAGAGATGACTTAGCCTATATAGAGGAACTGAGATTGCCGCGATGGTATGGCACGAACGACAGCCAACGGTCGCAACTGCACGTATTCACGGACGCAAGCGAACAGGCATATGCCACAGCCGCGTATTGGAGGACGGAACGCGAGGATCGTAGCGTTAACGTCGTCCTGGTAGCAGCCAAAGCGAGGGTAGCGCCCATGAAAGCGCAGAGTATACCCCGGATGGAGCTTCAGGCGAGCCTGATAGGAGCCCGACTGGCCGCTGACATATTGAAAGAACATAGTCGCGAGGCCGAAGTCTTCCTATGGACGGACTCGAAAACGGTGCTACACTGGATAAGGAACGACACCGTCAGATATACTCCATACGTGGCTCATCGTTTGGCAGAAATCGCCGAACTGACGAAACCGACACAGTGGCGCTGGGTACCGACTGCCCACAACGTAGCCGACGACGCGACCCGCGCGGGATACACACAAATGACCGCTGCCGACAGATGGTTTGTCGGGCCGGCATTTCTGTACGCTCCGGAGCAAGAATGGCCTCATGAGAGCGAGCCCGTCCCAGCAGAGATGGTAGCACACGTCCGGGAGGAGACAGAACCCGTGATCGACATTGCACGGTTCTCTTCATATGACCGAGTGAGGAGGACCATGGCGCAAGTGCTACTGTTCGCAGATAAATGCAGGCGACGGGCACAGAAGCTAGGCACAGAGCATTTCGCCAAAGCGGAGCAACTAATAATACGGCAGGCGCAACAGGACAGTTTCCCGAAGGAAACGCGGTGTCTACGCGAAGGAAAGACCGTAGACAGGACAAGTCGTCTGTTCCGCCTGGATCCCGTTTACAAGGATGGCATAATACGCTTGAACGGACGTATAAACGCAGCACAGGTGCCGCTAGAAATGAAGAATCCACCCATACTGGACGGCGCACCCGTTGGCGCAGATGATGATTAAGAGAGAACACGAGCTACATCATCATGCCGGCAGAGAACAGACGGTGAACACCCTGCGCCAATACGTGTGGATGCTGCGTTTAAGGCCGACCGTCAAGACCGTATTACGCAAATGCACAACATGCGCCGTACGCCGGAGGAACCCCGACGTCCCAGTGAAAGGGAACTTGCCAAAGGAGCGACTCGACGCATACGCCCGGCCGTTTACAAGATGCGGTATGGATTGTTTCGGGCCTATGTGGGTGACGATAGGTCGCAGGCGAGAGAAGCGATGGGGGCTCCTATTCACGTGTATGGTCACCCGGGCCGTGCATATAGAACTCATAGCGGGGTTATCGACCGACTCTGCTATAATGGCGATACGACGCATGGCAGCGCGTCGCGGCTGGCCACGAACCTTTATGTCGGACAACGGAACGAACTTTCGCGGAGCCGACGTGGAGCTTACGACTGCGTTTAAGGAATGGCTCCCTGAAAATGGAAAAGTACGTCAGCAACAAGAGGATAAACTGGCGGTACAGCGACCCGGGCGCACCGAACCAAGGAGGAGCGTGGGAGCGACTGATAAGGAGCGTGAAGAGAGCGCTAGCAGTGGTACTGCACGAGCGGGCGCCGAGAGAAGAGGTGCTCGCAACGCTAATGACGGAAGCAGAACACACCGTCAATTCACGCCCCTTAACCCACGTCTCAGTGCGACCCGAGGACGAAGAGGCGCTACCCCCAACCATTTTCTGATGGGCTCAGCCGTCGGCCTACCGTACGTAGGTACCACCGACGTTGCCGACCGCAGAACGTGGCGCGCAGCACAGGCGCTCGCGGATAGATTCTGGCAGCGGTGGTTACGAGAATACCTACCGACGCTGATGCCCAGAGACGACGTACGACGGAGCACGGCAAACATCAAGCCGGGCGACATGGTTTTAATAGTGGACGGCCTGCTACCTCGTAATCTGTGGCCGCGTGGGCAAGTGGAGCGCACCTATGAGGGGCCCGACGGCGTGGTGCGAAGTGCGGACGTGAGGACGCGAGGGGGAATTTTTCGAAGGCCGACCCGAAGGCTAGTGGTCCTCCCTAGGGATAAGGGCTGCGAAGATCTGCGCCGGGGGGAGGCTGTTGCGGACCACGAGTCGGCATCGAAAACATGTAAATAAATTTGTGTATAAATTTGTATTTTTCCAGTGTTTTGACTATTGTTTAGGTTAGACTATTGTTTGTACCATATACCCTTTGTAGCGGCATAGATACTGTGAATTCTATGTCCGCCCATTGTGTAAATTCTTAGGGATCACAGCTTTAGTGTAGCCTGAACATGTGGCATTTAGTCGCACGTGGTTTTTTGTAGTTTTTTGTGTTGTTACTATTGTATTTAATTTTAAATGTGTGCGTATTCGCTGTTCCGGCCCGTCGGTCACCGACATGTGCAGGAATTGTCGGGAGGGTGGGACGGCCGACGCGCACGGCTCGGCGGGGGTGGGGAAGGACGCGCTCGGGCGCCCGTAAAAGGCGGGTTGGTTCTCGATCGCGCTCTCTTACGCATACGCCACCGACGAAGAACCACCGCCGGCGCAACGACCAAGAAAACCCCACTCCGGCCGGCCGACCCATAGAATAAGAAACAAATTGAAATACAGTCCACATATTTTGAAAATCGAAGACCTTTTAATTGTGTACCCCACATTTATAATATGGGCCTAGTTGCCTGAAATAAATGAATAAATAAAAATAAATTACAAGCATCGTACCTTAGTTCTCCGGAACGTCAAAGTAAAAGGTCCATTTGTGTTAACGAACCATCCAGATACCACTAACTAAAAATAACAAAAGATTGAAAAATTTCTAATTCCAATCGTTTTCCTAGCAGTTTAACAAAGTTCTGTATAAGGTAAACTTATCTAATACATAAAAATGAATATGTACCAAAGAAAAGATGGATGCACTGTATGAAAGATAATGGTGACCAATATAAATATATAGAAGAAATACAAGGCAAGGAAAAAATAAATATACGAAATATATCATAAAAATAAAAATACCTACTGTAATTGAAATTCAGGACTTAAATCCGAGATATTATAGAGAATATTGCATATAAAAAATATGTCATTATATTATTACTATTTCGCAGATTGTTATATCAAAATATATTACATAGGTAAATTCCCTAACACTGTTTTATCCAGTATACAATGAACAGATATTAGAATATTTATATTTATTTCGCGCAAAAAATACTAGACAGTTTTTTTTATGAATTTTTACAGTTATATAATATCCTATATTAATACATAGGACATTGTTTTTGTGACAGCTAAAGCAAATTATTGTACCATCAGATGACGTAAATTACAAAACTCGGGAAAAGTTAATTTCCCTAAAAACATAATGAAAGTAAAAGGGTTTACTCTCGCAAGTATAAAAATTCATATTTACGTTTACGCCTCCCTTTGTTTCACGTTCGTTGTTATTTTCTTGTTAATTACTCTACGGCTTATAATAAAACATTTATATTCCATTGTTGCAATACGAGAAAGTTCATAAACCCAGGAAGTGTACATCCAACAGCACGGACGGGTCTATGATGATGCAGTATGATAAATAGATAACCTTATTCATGGACCCTTATTTTAAATCTTATTAATATTATAAACGCTAAAGCTTGTGAGTGTAGATGGATGGATGTTTGATACTGTTTCACGCAAAAACTACAGAATGGTTTTTAATGACACTTAATATAGCTTATACATTAGAATAATACACAGGCTATAAATTATACGCAGGAATATGAAAACTCGTGAATTTTGTTACGATAATTAAATATTTTATAGTAAGCATATTGAAGGTGGTGAAATTTTGTTGGATATGATTCTGTTAGTTAATAATATTATGATTATATTACATATATAGTGAGTATGACCATTTCGCTCTGTAACTTGTAAATGCAGAACTGTAATAATATTTAACTATATTTCTTATTTATAACAATTAAACCACTTACTTTAAAACTTTATGTGTCCATTAATATTTCCTACAGACTCTCCAGTGATGGTAGCATTTCCTAGTTTGAATGTAACATTTGATATTACTCTCAATATATTTGAACCTATCGTGTCAGGGGCGGACCTCCGCCATTTTCGGATCCATTTTGTTATTGATGTTTCTATTGCTGAAGAGTCAGTCAGAAATTTGAATTTAACACATAAGGTTTTTTGATCTTGAATTCACGACCATTCGGAGGAAATCTTGATACTAAACTACCAATTCATGGCGCTCTCAAACGTAGCTTTAAGACAAACTTCATCTAATCCAATATTACGAAGGTACAGCAAATATTTACAGTCTCCTTGCTTGTCAACACAATCATGAAATGTACACATATTATGCTATGTTGAGACAACTCCCACATAGCTTAATTTGTATTATATGTGTACAATAATACACATTACACAAGGCTAGTGAATTTAATGTGACAAGTCTCATGTATATAGAAACAGCTTGTAATGAAATAATAACGGATTATTTGTTCACTTGGACTTTCAACAAAGAAAGTATCAACTATGTAACTACAGCCTTGTGTTTTTTTATTGAAATGGCAAGGCAATTGACGTCACCTACATACAGGTATATAACCAACACTATCATAACAACGATATCATGTTAAACTGTGAATCTTGTGATATTACTCATGCGTTATGCGCTGCTAATGCTTACTAACTTACCAATATATCACGTGCGCAAATAATTCTGCCTGTCGCGCTTCAACCACAAAACTACTGGACCGATTTAAATGAAATTTGCACAGATAGTTTAGACCCTGAGAAAGGACATAGGCTACTAAAAAAGGATTGTAATTTATTTACAATTATAATGACTGTAGTATTTTTTCCATTTTAATTCTCACCACCAAATTAATTTTATCCAGCGAATTCCCTTTAAGACTGCCATTTATCAATCGGCCGACCTTTCCATAAAGGCCACCTAAAAATAACAAGTGTCCAGAACTCCGTGAATTTACTAAAATTGTTTGCTTTTACCTCGTTCCCAATTCTTTTTTTTTAATTGTCTTTCCCTAATACAAAAAAAGCTTGAAACGGACTTGGTACAAAGTTACTAATTAATTGATCAATTGCTTTAGATAAATGCTGGATTGGAGATAATTATTAATAACTATGCCACCTACTAGCTGTGCCCTCGATTTCATCCGTGTGAAATTTATATATGTCATTCTGATGTGTAAGCTATATTTCATCAAAATCCGTTCCGTAGTTTTTGTATATTTGTATGTTATGTTTGTACTCTTTAATAACAAACATCCATCCATACTCACAAACTTTCGCTTTTATAATATGAATAAGATGTGAAATATCACATCTTATTCATATTATAAACGAAATATATATACTTTTAAAAGAACATAGCCTATTAAACTATTATTTACATTTAATACTATTTCTTTTAAATGTATATATATAAGTATAGCGTATGTAATTTATCACTGTAGCAGTAAAATATTCTTATTTCTTTTTTATATATTACGGAATTATTTCTTTAAGCCGTCAAAATCAAAACAATTGTACATCACTATGCATTTAAATAACATATCAATTACATATTTCTCTCTTGTACTCTTGTATCTCTAATCTCAATACTATAATATGTATAGCCTTTTGTATAACATTTTTATATACTTTATTGTGCTTTGTTTGTTTGTGCGCAATAAAGAGTTATTATTATTATTTCCTTTTTTTTTATTAGTATTTTGGCGCCAAAATTATTTTACTTTATAGAGTTTTATTTACATTATCACAATTAACAAATTGATACAAATCATAATATTAAGATAATATTAAAAATGGGATATTTAACAGATATATTATTACTATAATTGCGTACTGGTGACCTTAGTGTTAGCAATGTACAATGTCAAGTTGACCTCCACGTGGTCCCTGCTAATTGACCTGACTCATATTAATTATATTCATATTAATAATTCTTCACTGACGC